ACGAAAAGAGGCCGTGCCGCAAACCCCCCCCCCCCAAAGACTGTGGGCTTCCAGGATTTGCAAGAAGGGACGCCAAAGGAGTTCTTGGTTATTATGGCTAAACATTTATTTTTTAAAAAATGACCACCATCCCCAGGCCGACATTGACATTCCGGCTGACCAAATCTCAACCCATCACCTCTCCTCCCCCATCTTTTTCTCTTTCAAACAATTCCCCCCCCCAAAAAAAGAAAGACAAAACAGCTGGGAGAACTTGTGCGCCCTGCTTCCAGGCAGCAGACGCCGGACCCAGTGGGTGTGCGTGTGGGTGTCTCTCTCCGTGTGTGGGTTTTTGTGTGTGTGTGTGCCTGGAAAGACAGCCCCCCCCCCGGCCGCCGCCGCCGCCTTTTCCGACTTCCCAAAGACTTACTTTTTGTTCGAGGTGTTCCAGTAGATGGGCTCCAAGCTCAAACCTTGTATGAACCACAGTTCCAGTAGAGAAAAGAGGAGACCTCGGTAAAATCCAGCCAGCGAGCATCCTGGGGCCATGACTGCATGCAGGAGGGGGGGGGAATTACTCCTTGAAAGAGGACTGGGGGGGTTCCACCATCTCTCCCCCTTCAAGTCTTTTTCTCTCTCTCTTCTCTTCTCTTCTCTCTCCTGTCTTCCTATCTTCTTTCCCTCTTTGTTTTCCTTCTTTGACAATCACACACACACGCGCACACACACACACGAATTCCAAGGCGGAGAAACTACAGTCACTCCTTTGCAAACCGAGGGCAACAGGAGGAGAGACGCACCGACATGCCAAAAAAAAGAAAAAAGAAGAAAAAGGAAAAAAAAAGGACTTTTTTTTTAAAAAAAATTTATCTCTAAGGAGTCTCTCCTAGATCGCTGGCTTTCCTCCTCCTCCCCCCCCAGGTCAGTAAAGTTTGACGAATCCTCGGCTTTGCCCAAGCGGTCGCCCAGATCCGGAAAGTTTGGAGGGCTCGCGACAATCCGCCGAAGATGGAGACCAAAATCTGGAGCGCAAGACCCGCATCTTTTTTTTCCTTGCTTGCTTTTCTTTCTGGGTTTTTTTTTTTCTTGGGTTTGGGGGGGGGAAAGGCACGCTTGGGGTTTTGAGCTCACAAAGGAAGAAAGACGAGGGGGAGAAGAGAGAGGAAAAGGGTTTTTTTTTTGGAGAGAAAAAAAGACACACACACAGACTCACACACACACACAGGCGCGCGCGCGCGCGCAGCGACAACAACAGCGAGGCAGCCGCCGAGAATCAGGGCGAGCCGGCGGAGCTGGTGGTGCTGCTTCCACGGGGGCTCCTCGGGGTCCAGATCCTTCTGTTCGCGGCTCCTTGGGGCGGGTGGGTGTGCAGAAAGGAGGTGGGGAAAAAAGTGTGCCAGAGAGAAGGAAAGGGGGGGCCCAAGGAAACAGGCATTTGCAACCACTCGCCGCCTCCCCCCTTTCTTCTCCGTCCTCCCCTCGGTCTAGATTTTGTGCTTTGCTGCCCTTCCTTCCCACTCCTCCCCTCCTTTTTCTTTCTTTCTTTTTTTTGCTAAAAGCGCAGCAATGAAGAACTCCAGCGATGAAGCTGAAATAATGGCAATAAGGAGAGAGAGAGAGAGAGAGAGAGAGAGGGTGGATTTTTTCCCCTCCCCTTTTTCACCCCCCTCTTTCTTTCCTTTTTTTTTTTTTAGGAGAGAGAGAGAGAGAGAGAGAAGGGAGGAGAAAAGAACTGGTGACTGTGAAAAGCCGGAATGAAGAAACATTCAAAAAGCTTTTTTTTTTTCTCCGGGAGCCGGAGTCACGCGAGTTGAAAGAAGATACGGACTCAGGACCGGCAGACGCGCACGAAATCCGAAAAGAGAAAGAGCAGGAGGAGGAAGAGGAGGAGGAGGAGGAAGCAAGCCAAGGAAAAGGCAGCTTTCTGGGGAAGAGAAGAGGGGAAAGAGGGAGAAGAAGGATGCTAGCTGCATGCCACCAGGGCTTGCCTGCAAAAAGGGGAAAAAAAGGGAAAAAAGGAAAAATAAATGAAAATAAAAGGGAATGATGGACCCAGTGCTTATACTCTGTACCATCTCTCTCTGGCTGGACTGTGGGCCAAACCTCTGGGCACAGCTGGGCCGTTCTGCTATGGGCATGGAAAGAGAGGACCCGTTTCTTGGCTTGCTTTTCTCTTTTTAAGGTTATGGACACGCACACAAAGGCACGCACCACGCCGCCGCCTCCCCCCAGGTGGAGGTAACGCAGGTAGATTAATGGGCGCGCTCCTTTTCATGGAGTCAGCATAATTATATATAGCAGGCATGGCAGGGGGTGAAGGGGAGAGAGAGGAGGAAAGGGGCAGAGACGGGCCCACGGTTTGGGAATCCGGGCCTGGCGTGTGCGGCTTTGGAGGAGAGCAGCCCTGGAGCCCGGAAGCGCGGGCATCGTTTCACAGAGAGAGGGGTGGCTCCCCGAGATCTTGGCCGGAAATTGTGGTTGCTGTTCTTCTTACTCACTTAGGGTGACCGTAGGGATGAGCCATCTCTGAAAGGTCTGGGCCTTGACAGCGCCGGTCAGCTCTTGCAAACTCAAAAGTTGTGGCTTCCTTTAGAGAGTCAGTGCATCTCGTATCGGGTCTTCCTCTTTTCCTGCTACCTTTACCAGCTTTACTCTCTATTCCAGAGAAACCTGCCTTCTCAGGATGTGCCCAAAGTAGGAGAGCCTCCGGTTCAACCTTTTTGCCTCCAGAGAGAGTTCAGGCTTGATCTGACGCAGGATCCACTTGTTCGTCTTCCTGGCCATCCCGGGTCCTCTGCAAAGCTCTCCTCCAGCACCACCTTTCAGATTAATAATTTTTCTTCCTTTCGGCTTTCTTAACTGTCCAGCTTTCGTACCTATACGTGGTGACTGGGAACATAAGAGTGTGAACGATGGTTGTTGTAGGTTTTTTTGGCTGATTGGCCGTGTTCTTAAGATTTTTCTTCGTAACGTTTCGCCAGTCTCGGTGACCGGCATCGTTAGGAAGAAAAACCTTAAGAAGATGGCCAAACATCCTGAAAAACCTACAACAACCATCGGATCTCGCCTCCCGGCCATGAAAGTCTTCGAGAATACAGTGTGAATGATCTTTGCCTTCACTTCCAGTGACACAACCTTACACTACAACCATCGGATCTTGCTTCCGGCCATGAAAGTCTTCAAGAATACAGTGTGAATGATCTTCGCCTTCACTTCCAGTGACACAACCTTACACTTGATGATCTTTTCTAATTCCTTCATTGCTACCCTTCTGAGTCTCCATCTTCTCCTGATTTCCTTGGCTGAAGATTGGATTGACGATTGTACCTGGATTTTGAAAAAAAATATTTCCATTTCTTCATTGTCAATGTCAAAGTTACATAGTTCTTCTTTAATTCATCATGAATTTGATCTTCCTCATGTTCAGCTGCAGTCCTGCTTTGGGCACTTTCTTCTTTCACTGAAAGTCATTTCACATCATTGCTGCCTTCTGCTAGTAAAACGGCATATGTTAAGTAATGTATGTTTCTTATTTGTTGCCATATTCTTGTTAGGAAATTGATAGATTCAGTCTCTGTGACTTAAAGTAGTTCTATTGCTATTCTTTCTACCCCTGGTGATTTATTTCTTCCTAGTGCTTTCAGAGCAGCTTTCCTTTCACTTTCTAGAACTGTAGGTTCTAGAAAGAGAAAGTGAACCACACAGGATTCATCTTCAAAGGAGTCTCTCATCCTTTTATGGCTTCTGTATAGGTCCTCTTTCCACCTTCTATTTCTCAGATGTTGCGCTTCCCTATTGGTTATTCAACTTTCCTAATCTAGATTTAAATTTCCTTTAATTTCTTGGTTTTTTCAGGAAGAAATGTATTGTGCTATTCTCTATTTCTCTGTGTTGTCCCTACACAGCAAAGAGAACCATTGTGGTTATTGGCTGCCAAGCTGCCTCCGACATACAATGAGTGGGGAATTAAGGAAACGATATAGGGACGTGTGTGGCGCTGCAGGTTAAGCCGCAGAAGCCTCTGTGCTGCAAGGTCAGAAGACCTGCAGTCGTAAGATCGAATCCATGTGTTGGAGTGAGCCCCCGTCGCTCGTCCCAGCTCCTGCCAACCTAACCATTAGAAATCATGTAAAAATGCGAGTTGATAAATAGGTACCACCTCGGTGGGAAGGCCATGACATTCCGTGTCTAGTCACGCTGGCCACGTGACCACGGAAGATTGTCTTCGGACAAACGCTGGCTCTACGGCTTGGAAACGGGGATGAGCACCACCCCCTAGAGTCGAACACGACTGAACTAAAGGTCAAGGGGAACCTTTACCTTTGGAAACGATATAAGCCCCGGAAGACCTTTTCAATAAAGGACAGTCCAACCCTAGAATATATGATGCACAGCTCATGTGCCTCTGAACATGCATAGACTGCTGGATATTCAAGCCTGTCTGGAAAAAAGAGAATATATACTGTATAGGAGAGTGCATGTGCTTTTTCTGAATTTCTTTGGTGGTCCTCATGTAATGGCATTCTCTCCCAAGAGAAATCACCCGGGCTCCATCGCTGCTTGGCTTCTGTGGGCAAGGTAAACCTGGACTGGTTTGACCTCATTAGGGTGCCGTGTAACCAAGACAGACGGGCCTCTCCAAAAACGTGAAGGCACCCCTATGGCAAGCGGCCTGTGGGTGCCGGGATCGAAATCCCGCCCTGCAGAGCTGAGCGCCTCAGGCTCTCCTTCGTTCTTGGAAATGCGCACGAGACCAGGAGAGAGAAGGGAACCCGCACGATTCGTTTCCACATCTTTGGTGGCGGTGAATAGATATGAGATGCGAGGTTTCAGGCATTTGTGAAATAAGGATTTGCCTTCGCCTTCATACCTGCTGTGTCTGAAGATCTTAAGCGGTGACTTACTTCGGGGGGAACACCATGTTTAGCATACAACGCCTTTTTTTAGTAAAGGTCTGAATAAACCGTCGTACGTCTGGTCCATCAGCTCCTCTAATGGGTCCTTTAAACCGAAGCTCTGGCCAGGTTCAGGCATAAAGATCTTTTTTGGGGAGGGAACGGGGGGGGGAGGTTATTACTTGCATGACCTTCATTCTGCATCATTCTCTAACTTCTGTAGATACAGTACGACCCCCTTATCTGCGGGATTGGTATCCGCTGAGGACCCCCCTATCTGCGGGATTGGTATCTGCAGACTTAAAATATTAAAAGAAAAACTCTAGAAATATACATATATATTTCTAAAGGTGAGGTTACCCAAACTGGCCAATAGAGGGAGCCAGAGACCATGCAATGGATAGCATTCACTATTGAAAGGCGCATTTGCTATAATCTGTATTATTAGCATCCCTGGAAGCGATGGTCCGTGTGCCTTCACATTATTTGCCCAGTTCTTGAAGGATAGCAACTGGCCAATGAAAACGGATTCTCCGTGCCCTTCCTATGGCCGAAAGACTTCCCCAACAACATGGGTCATTCGGTGCACCGAGGAGTTTGCAGCTCCGTCAAGATTGGAACATGAAGTATCCAGAGAACCAGTATGTATGTATATATTCTTGGCCATTTAAAAGCCTTTTTAGAAGCTTATATATAGATCGTCTTACGGTGCCTCCATTTCTATGGTGTGACCTTTGCCAGCTATTTTTTATTTTTTCCTCCTTTCTTACATTTTCAGCATAACATTAAAAAAACCCCTTTAAAATAATTGATATATATATATATATATTTAAAGCTGACTTGTTCTGGATCTGGTTTTCCATGTTTTTTAAATCTGTTCTGAATATTTTTCAATCCATTCTTTAATCCTTATTTCCTATTATTTGACTGCAACTCATCCTGGGAGTTCTAGCGGGCCGAAAGCAATGAATGAAAAGCTTTTTGGAAGGTAAAAACAGATATTTGATGTCTTTGGTGCCAAGACCCTGGACCGATATACTAAGCAACAAATTACTGAAATTTGATCAGCTTGAGGTCATCAGGAGGAAGATGGCGGGGAGGGCAATATATGAACCTTTGAGTCTTCACCTAGCAGCTCTCAGATTTCTTTCTTTTTTTTAAATTTAAAACAGTTTTCTTAAAAATTGTAAGAGGTTTCAGTCAACCACTTTTTTTTCACGTTAGGAAACATTAGGAAGAACAACCTTCAGAACATGGCCAAAGAGCCTGAAAAACCCACAACAACCATTAGATCCCGGCCATGAAAGCCTTCGCGAATACTTTTTCTTTTTTTTCAGTTTTACAAATCAAAGTCCATTCATAACTCATAATATTCCAGTCGCCTCTGTCTCGCCTTTCTCCCCTGATGGACGTGGTGGCTCTCAAAAGCAAAGTTCTGTAAAGTCCGTCTCCATTATCAGAACAACTAAATCAAGGACAGGTTCGAGTACATAAATTCTCAACAATCACTATCGCCTTTCTGGAAATCATCTGGAAGGGGGCACTTACAGACCAGCTGAACTCCATGTGCTTCCACGTTACCTTCTCCACCTTAGCCTAACCCAGTTGAGCACATTTTCAACCCTTGTCTTCACCACCATGAGGACTAGTAGCAGGTTTGATGGGGTGAGGTGTTTTCAGGATGCTGAATCTTGCAGGTATCAAAGCTC